TTATTTACCCCTTTTTTCGGGTTTCCAATCTAACATTCCTTCCATAATTAAGACACAACTTCGCCTAATATCAGCAAATTAAAGAAACCTTCATAAATAGACAATTTTGATACACTAATTATCTTTTTTTTTTTTTTTTAAGTTTTTTTGATTAATTTAAGAAATAATAAACTTTTAAAACTAAAGTTATTAAAGATATGAATTAGTGTTTATCCGTCTTACTTTCTAAATATTAAGAAAAAAATTGTTTTAAAACTACGTAATTTTAATAAAATATTATAAGAAATGAAAAAAATACTTTAATTTACACTTTAAAAATATAATATTTTAATTTTTTTAATAAAATTTATTGAAACGATATAATTTTAAATTTTTTTTGTAATTTTTATGAAATAAAACAGATAAATACTATTTTTTCTTAAATAAATAATTAATAGAGCAAATACTTACATCTAATCAAAAGAAAAGTTTGAAATAGATTTGAAGAGCGAGAGCACCCTGCAGGAAAAAGAAATACGACAGCGTTTTGCCGTACACTTCCCTCTTTAAACGCCGCCGGTGCCATAATTCGCCACTCTCCGGTCTGGTCTCTGCTTTCCTCGAAAACTCAAAGCACGCAATCGTCACCGTAACTCGTCTGACACCATGGGAGAACCAGGACTGAAGGGGACGGTGACGTCGCTTTCGTCGATGTTTCCGGTGGAAGAAGCAGAGAAAGCAGCGAAGCGCGTTGAGGAGGCGCTGGAGGAGAAGCGGAAGGAGAAGAATCGCTTGAACGAGTTCATTGCTGACAACACCTCCCTCACCAATCTCGTTCAAAAGCTACCCGACGAGCTCCACCACGATATAATGGCAAGCCTTCACAAACATCTCCATGAGCGGATATGTTTATGTAGTATGCCAATTTTTGGTTGTTGAACTTAATTTTTCTTTTGGTTTTCTGTTTCAGGTTCCGTTTGGTAAAGCAGCATTCTTTCCTGGTCGTTTGATTCACACAAATGAGTTTATGGTATTTATTTAGCATTTTTTTCTCATTTAAAAAGTTATGCATTAGTTTGGCAAACTACTTGGTCTTTGTCATTGCAAAATAATAAAAATTGTAGATGTTGGTATTCCATTTTCTTTGTTATTGTTTCATTTGTACTGGATTTTTATTTTCTGGGAGAATTTTTCTTCTGATTATGTTGGCAATGGTTAGTATATTTTTTATAGCATGGGTATCCAGACCTTTGGCAACTGTAAATTGATGATGATTATTTTGTAAAATATCCATCTTCAATCCCACTTTTAGTTTACAATTTAACTCAGCTGTTTCACTCTAGTAAATTACCTTTGATTTTTAAGAATATAGATGCCATGGCCTATTATTCATTGCTGGAGTATTTCAGTGTATTTGACTAAAATATAACCTCTAGTCTCGTTCATGACTGTGGTTAGTTTCCCTTTGCCTGTTAAGGTTTTAACTGATTCCTTACTGGTGTTTCTATACATCTGGTTGAGCTGCTTTCAAGTTTTAATGAAATTTATCTATTTCTGGACTTATCAAGACTGGTTAAATCAGATGTTGTGAATGTGTTGCATTATACTGCTAATTGCTTAATAATCTTTGCATTTTAACAGTCATTGTTGCCTTGCAGGTTCTCTTGGGAGAAGGCTACTATGCTGAAAGAACAGCAAAGCAAACTGTTGAGATTCTGAAAAGAAGGGAGAAGTCACTAGAATCCCAAGTCAATTCTCTTAAGGCTACAATGGAGGATCTTAAATTGGAGGCATCTTTTTTTGATACCACTGCTTTAGAAGCATCAGTAAGTTTTTTGATATTTGTTTGTTAACTAGTTAACAAAGTATCTAGAAATTCTGAGGCATAGATGTTAAATTTTTTGTGTGGCCCAGTGTGCACATGTGCACATGGTGGTTTTTGGGTTTAAATAATTATTGCAAATTTCTTTTTTGTATCTGATTTGCATATTTTCTATCACTGCTCACTGTGTCTGATCTTTAAGAATTGACTCTTTTGTTTCGATATTGGTTTTTTGTTTATTTCTCCAGGAGGGTCTTGTGGAGATAAGGGAAGAGTATGTTGAGGAGAATTCTGCTGAAACTGAGTCAGGTGGGTTCTTTCTCCCTCAGTTTCACTCATTCATTGACCTTTTTTTTTATCATAATTCTCTATTCAGCCAAATCTATTTCTTGATTATGTTTTAAAAGGAGTTAAGAGGAGAGCTGAATTACTTTTTTAAAAAGAATGTAACTTCCGTTTTCCTTTTGGTATGGTATATCCTATACTTAACCTAAGCAGAAAAATTTTGGCAACCTTGTTGTTCCTTAGATCAAACAAGACTAGGAATAGGATGTGAATAAGGGACATGAATTTTAAGTTTTTCATGTTTTATCCAGTTGATTGTCAGTAACTTACTAAATTCCATTGTGAATTTAGGATTGAGGTTTTTATTAGAACATTTTTGGGGCAACTTTTAGTTGACTGTTTATGCAAATACAAGAGCAGAGCATTGATGAACATAGTAAAATGTAAGGGAAAAATTATTGGGGTTGTGAAATCTGATGTTGCAAATTTCATGCCAAGAGTCAGCTGCTGTAACTAGAAGCTATTAAGTTGACATTGATTGGAATTCAAGATGCATAGTTTAAGAAGAAAGAAAGGGAAAAGATAGTTAATCCATGCTGGTTGGAGGGAAGAAACAAGGTCTAGACTACTCTGGAGTTCTTTTTGCAGTGTCTGATACAAAAACAGACATAATTGGCATAGTTATTTTGTCTTTCTATTCATGAGCAAGGTTATCTATCTTCCTAGAAATCTTTTAGACTTTCATTGTATACTGGTTATGAAAATAGGGACATGACTTACTTTTCTAAAATTGAGAAGAGTAGTTTTTGAGACAACAATGTTCCTTTCCAGGTTTGGTTGAACAGGATTCCATCAGTTTTACTGAGACTGATAACACAAAGGGTGCATTTGAGAATGAAGAATATGCTTGTATACTCTCTAGGTTGGATGAACTTGAGAAAGAGGAGGAACTTGCAGCTGAAAATGATAGGGAGAAGAGTGAAGACAGTTTTGCTGAAGTGGATAGCAAAAAAGTTGAAGCTGTTGATGAAAAATGGGCTCGTGTAATGTCCAGGTTGGATGAACTTGAGAAAGAAGAACTCACAGCTCAAAGCGATGAAGAGAAGGATGAAGATCAGCAAACTGATGCCTCTGAAAGCAAAAGCGATGAAGATGAGCAAACTGAAGTTGATTTTGGCAGAAAGAACAATGCAGATCATAATTCTCGTTATCAGACTCTCATGCATTCAGAGGTAATAGTTGGAACTGCTTTTGGCATGGTGAATGCAATTCGATTGTGTTTTTGGTAATGATGTCTTGATTTATTATTTATCAAATGGGAGTATCAGTCAACCAAACCACCGCAGCAGAGAAAAGACAAACATACAACACTCGAAGGCTTGTCAAATAAACATCAACAACCTGATTTGACTAATGAATTAAATGTAAGAGATAATATTTTTCATATCCTTCATTTTTGTATTAATATTTCTCTGAATTTGTCTCCACAAACAATTGATTTTCTGAAATTTCAAATGCAGTGCACAGGATTGACAGTAGAACCTGCTCCAGAAGGTTAGTCACAGTATTTGTATTTTTTATTGGTTGCACATTATCAGAACAACATTTTCCAGAAATTGTAGTAATCTTGTGTCAACTTGACTTCATGGGTTATGTAATTCTTTGTCTTTTTTTAATGCTATTCAGATGGAAGGTCCATAAGTAGAAATATGCCTCAGAAAGTAGAGACATTGAATCCTTCTGAAAATTCCAGTGTGCTTCCTGATAGGAAGGTGAAGTTTCAAGTAGAAGATTCATCAAGAAAAGAGGTAGTTAAGCTCATATTGTGACTCTTGATTATTCTTATGACACATTTTCTTCTCTACTACTTTCTCCTTTCCTTCCCTATGCCTTTTAGGTTAGAAGCTAACATAGTGCTTACTGTCTTGCTTCTATATCTGTTAGAAACTTATGCTCCATTTGGTTCACAAAAAAAAAATTTTGGAAAATTATAGATAACATGACTCATTAATGTATGCATGGCAGGTAAAATATTTAGATAGATGGAGGATACTCCTTTTATTTTCTAGAAAACAACTTCTTGCAAATTAAGGATTG